CAATTATCCACAAAATAAAATATAATCCATTTCTATATCCATTTTAATCTCAATATCCCATTCATTTCAAAAATTTATTTATTTCTCATTTCATTACTCAAACCAATTAGAACATCAATTTGACAAAGATCATGTTACAAAATGTCCATTTGATTTACAACCCAAAAGGCCCATTTACATCAAAAAAATAGGAAACAAAAAAAAGAGAAGAAAATGATCGTACAAGTCACATGCATACACTTACTACTATAAAGTACTTTAAGTCATGACTCATCACTATCACCATATTACAATATTGAGAATTAAAAAAATTTAACGATAACCATCAACACAGGGTCAACGTCGCTCCACCCTTGCACCACAACGGCAACTTACAAAATACACACAAAGCAAAATGCCAAGCTATTTCGAACCGCTGCTCCATGACCTTATAGCCTACAAACATCCTCAATGCTACACTCTGAATCGTGACAGACCCAAAACAACCTTTCTGCACAACCTGCACTTGAAAACTACTGCTCATCCACAAGAACACAATAACTCATTATACTGCAAACTTAACCCAGAAGTCTTGATATTGTTTTAAAAGGAGGAGAAGAGAAACAATAAAGAGAAAAAAAACAACAGCAACAAGAACAAAGTAATATAAAACTCTCTGGAAAAAAACCTTACCACCAACAATTGTGTTTTCATCTTCTTATCCACACCAACAGAAACATATATCAGAAACATCCTCCCACTTTGAACATACGATTGGCCCTTCATTTTTCTACATAATCAAATATAACACTCAGAACCTTAGCAATCATCTTCACATCATTCCAAAAACTCATCACGCATAGTAAGGATAAGATACAGAGGAAGAAAAAGAAGTGGAAGTAAAAGAGAGATACCTAAATTCATTTCTCCAAGTAGGTAATATCCCATTTCCTTTCCTCTTTCTCTTGCGCGGATAATATGATCCATCTGTGTTTCTGATTCTCGATTCATAGCATTGTTGGTTTCCTTGTTTTCAATTGAGAGGATTGTGTTTGTTCTTGAACATTTGATAAATAATGGACTTTGTAATTCAGTTTTAGGTTTCACGGTCGAGAGAAAAGAGGGCGGGATCGTAAGAAGAAAACAGATAGATCGGAAGTTGGAATGATTAGCCTGCGATTGGGTATGAGCTGCACGAGTGAGGGAGGGATTTCCGCTGATCAAGTTTCACTTGCAGAGGGGAGCTTTTTGTTTTTATTGAGTTCAGAACATGTTCTTCGAGTATTTTGCTGCAATCGTTTGTTCCTTTCTCCCTTTTTTTTCCTTTTAGGTTTTAGTTAGTAAGGTTGATTTGGGTCACACATGGGGCGACTCGCCCCAAACCCAGGATGACATGGCCAAATGTCATTTTCATTTGGGCCTCAGTATTATTCTCCTTTCACATCTAGCCCAATTTGGCTCATATTAAGTTGTTTTTCTTTATATGTTTTATGGCTTTTTCTCTTCTTCTTTTTTTTTTGCTTTGTTTGTTTCTAGTTGTTATAAGATAATACACAAAAACAATTTTCATTTTAAATTTCATATAAAATATTTTATAGTATTTTGTTTATCTAATTTTCTTTTCTTAAAAGTAATAATAAAAATAAATGATTTAAATTTAATCTTTATTCTAGATTGTTTTAGTTAGATTTTGTTCGTTCAAACTTTCCTTTAGAATTAACTCTTTACTTTTATTTTAAGGTGTCCAATACCTTCTAGGATATACTTGTTTATTACTTGTTGCTTATGTGTTTTATCGTATATGCTTTCATAATCATTTTAACTATATCATGTAAAAAGAACAAATTTGTTAAGAGTCAAAAGACGAAAAAGATACTCAATTTTGATCCTTGGGCTTATTGGTTTCAGGCGTGAGTGTTTTTTTAGGACTTTTTAGACTTCTTGTGATCTTAAATCGCAAATCAGTTACCATTGTATCACTTTAAAACCTTTGAACGCATATAGTTATGTATTCAAATGTTCCCTTAGGATCTCCTAATCAAACTTAATTTTTGATTAAGATTGGTGTAGGATAGATTGTAGGATCTTAATCCAAGCGTGACAACATTAGGATAGATTTCCCCTTCAATATCAACCTTAGGACCATCATTGCATGACAACATTTAGGATTCAGTCTTTCTTATATTTTCTTTTCTTTTACATCCAAATCTTTTCTTGTATCAAAAAAACCAAAACAAATACTTAATAAACACGATGCGTGTAGTGTGTCACGAGTCATAAGTATATGGGAAATGGTGAGCGGAAATTTCTCCTTACCTCTTCTAGAGTTCTTTGTGCGCGAACCATCTCGGATCGTTTGTGCAAAGCATTTGCTCCTATGTCATTGACTTTAGTACAATGCGCATCTCAAACTCTTTTCAAAACCCTAACAAAAATACTTCAACAAATCCAAATCATTTTCTCCTCCGGGATTCCTTCAAAAAAATTTCAGAAAAGGACATGTTATTTCTGTTCTACCACAAAACAGGTAACGCGTAAGACTCCAGACAACGAGCGGTAAACACCTAACTACTAGAGCGTGAACATTAGCATCGTCCATAAAAAACACCAACAAATCGTAGTCCGAACTACGGACGCTCTAATTTCTCATACCTGTTGAGAATACGTAGGCACAAGAGCCTTAATCCTTGGCGAGCAAACTTCCCATTTTTCACCCGTAATCCTTCGAACTACGTTGACTCTGACTTTCGCATTACACGATGGAATACGTAGGCATAGGATTGCGATATCCTATCAAGTCTCCTTTTCTTTTGTCTCTCCCATTTCATTCATGCATTCCCTTAGCATATTAAACTTTAGATATACACACTCTTATATTAGAACAACAATAGTGGATCTCGTTGAGTACAACGGACGCGAGGGGTGCTAACACCTTCCTTTTGCGTAATCGACTCTCATACTCCGAACTTGGTTGCGATGACCATGTTCTTTTCCTCCTGGAGTTTTCTCGATGTTTTTCTTTCCCTGTTGGGATAAATAAAGTTCGACGGCGACTTTGTGTCTTCGCCTATTGTTTTTCGTGTAGCGACACACACGAACTGTCGGTGCAATCACAACCACCCAAAAGTGTCCACAAAATCTTGATCATTCAAAAAATCAAATAAATAAAACTACTGAAAATTTCACTTAGGTTTTAATTTCCGGTATCACCACGGAAATTTCAAATTTCCAGAACTAATTGCAAATTACCGAAAATTCCTCAATTTTTTGTACATCAGAAATTTTAGTATATACTGAAAATTTCATTATAATACTGAAAATTTTATACAGAAATTTGATGTGTTTTTCAGTCAGGGACAATTTTAAAAATATGAAATTTTGGATATATCAAATATAATTTGGAGTGTGGCAGGTTAAATTCTCTAGTATTTGATAAGATAATATTTTAATTAGAAGTTAATTAAAATACATTAATAACACTTTAAAAGTATTTTATAATGTCAGAAAATTATAATCATTGATTTTGTTAAAATAATATATGTTAATTATTATGATGTACACTGTAAATAGATAATAATTAATTTTAATTATTATATATTGATTAAAAAAGTTTATATTATAATTTAAAGGCAAGCATTTATTTTGCAAAAGCTACGTTCACTTATTATAGACCATGTGAAAAGGTGCCAAAATAGGGTCCCAAATTCTCACATTCTTCTTTACCTATTAAACAAAATTAATTTCCTTTCTTTATCAATGTGTTGTTTTCCTTTTGATTTTGCATAGTCTATATATATAATTTCTATGGTGCTTAAACTTCAAGGCAAAAAGAGACAAAATTGAATGATTGATTAATTTTCATAATTTGAATATATTTGCTGGACTTATAATGGATTCCTGCCAGCAATAATAATAAGCTACTCAATTATGTGAATTTTAAGCAAGTAGACATTTCATATTTCATTTCATAATTAACACAAAGACGAAAAGCATGTCTTACCAAATCGCTTATTGTTAACTTGTCAAATCAGTGATGCCATGGAAACTATGCTTTCTAGTTTCTATATGCTTTTTAAAAGCTCCTAGTTGGTTGGATTTTGGCAGTATTTGTTTTAATACAAATTTAATTTATTTTTATCTAATTTAAAACCCTACCAAAATAAATAATAGAGTTTCAAAATGTGTGGATTAGATAACTTTTTTTGTTAGTAATCTTTTAAAAATGAATTTTTTTAATTTCAAATCTCACATCAAAATTAATCATGCCAAAATAAAAGCTAGTTTTTTGCTCACATAAAATTCAATTCTATCCACTTAAAATCATTTCTATTATCACTTTTAATATATATATATATATATATATATATATATATATATATATATATATATATATATATATATATATATATATATATATATATATATATATATTCACAATAATTTAAAAAAGCTACTTATCGGAAAAAATATTATTAAGAATTTTTAAATATAAATAAATTCACTTTAATATTTTTAAGAATTTTTAATAAAAAATTCACTCAATTATTCGGATTTAAACATCCAATAACACTTAGGTGAGATATTAAGAGATCTCTTTCAGTTTAATTAAAGATCTTGGATTTGAATTTGGTTTTAGTCACACAACAGTGTGAAATTCTTTTGAGTTATTATTATCGTCTTTTGTAATCCTTTTCGAGTCAAAGAATTAATCTTTACAGTTGCGCACAGAGTTTTAATTAAAGATATTAGATTCAAATTTTAGTCATTAGGCTGTTGAAAAAAATTTTAAACATCTTCACAATAACCTTTATAATTAATTAAAAAAAAGTCTAAAAGTCTAAACATCCCCACCTTCTAGTTCATTTTAGTTGGCCTATCTATTTCTTTAAAACACCAACCCTCTTAAACTCTCCAACCTACTCTTCCAAAAACCAAGAAAGAATCCATAACATTTCTACTTATGTTATAGAGTTTTAATTTTTTGTGTGAATTGAGAATCATCTAACAAAAGACCAATTCCAATGGAAGTCTCATGCAAAATTCTTAGAAAATCAATCCATACTTTTCTTCAAAACTATCAAAATTTCAGCACAAAAGCATCATTTCTAGCCTTACCATTCTCAGCATCAATCCTACTCTCACAAGCATTAGTCCCTTTATCTTCATCACTCTTCCCTCAAACATACAATCACCTAAAAGCTCTCTTTCATGCTGCAGGCTTTCCCTCATCACACTTGTTTACTATTCTCAACCTTAAGGTTTCTCAAACAATCACTTCCTCAATCTTCACCTTTCCTTTCACTATCACCTTTTTCCTCATTGCAAAAGCATTCATAATTCAATCTTTGAATAAGAGCGAAAAGAATCCGTCCTATAATTATAAACCAATCCTTCACACGTATTTCTACAACACTTTCTTCATTCTTTCGGCCAACGCGTCTAGTTTTTGCCTCCTTTTTCTTGCCTTTAGTTTCTCTGAAGGGCCAGGAAACTCTTGGCCGAGTTTGACAGTTTTTCTCTCGGCTGCAGCAGTGGTTTTCTTCTCGGTGATCCTTGCGAATGCACTCGTGGTATGCAACATGGCGCTCGCGGTGTCTGGTATGGAGGGACGGGGAGGATATATGGCGATTCTGAAAGCGTGTATTCTTCTAAGGGGGAAGACGACAATGGCTTTGTTCTTGGCATTACCTGTCAATGTAGGTTTGGCTGCCATTGAAGCCTTGTTTCAATTTCGGGTCGTGAGAGGATATTATATCGGTGAAACTTCATGGTTTTTCATAGCTTTGGAGGGTGTTTTCATAGCTTATCTGTACTCGATTTTCATCATCATTGACACTATTGTGAGTTGCATGTTTTACAAAAGCTGCAAAATAAGAGAAACATGGATTGATAAGGAAGACAAACATTTTTTGAGAATTGAATCCATTGAGGACGAGAATTATTATGGTTACTTGCAAGTCAAGAACTTCCAAGAACTACCTTGACTATCATATATCAGTTTCTCAAAAAGAGATACAAGTCACTTTAGCAGGAATTTGAAGAACAAGAAGCTGGAGATTAGTTCACCATTACATTTTAATGTTTTTTCATTGATATTCTTAAAATCTGTCTACTTTTTATTTCATCACTTGTAAATTGATCAGTCATACACAAAGGATCCTTCTTATTTCCCTTGTACTTTTGAAGGTATAGTTAAGCATGTTTCAAGAGAACAAGGCCATACAGTTTCTTGCAACTCATTGTTAATTTTGGCTTTTAGCAAATCTATGAGTTATTTACTGCTTGCTTAATACAACGTGGTTAACTGTTTTGTTTTAAGGCAAAAACATAAAAGAGTAGTAGCATGCTCATTTTCAATTAGCTAAGGTCTTTCTACCTGAAAAGCTCAATCACTAACACTAACATCATGACAATGACACTTCAACGCCTATAATAATTTGAGAAAGAAAAACAATTGAATATAACTATATGCATACATTACTACATGGCATATAAGTATAACTATATGTATACACTCTTACATTGTCAAATATCAGATACCTTTTGAAGTCTGAGTCGTGTAATAGTCTCATTTTGATCTAGGTTGTCAATACCGTGCTATAGCGCTATAGCATAGCAGTACGAGACTTCGGAGCCATGCTTTTGGACTGTTAACCGCTATCCGGATAGCGGAAATAACGTCTACTATTTGTGATGTTGTGGCGGTGTAATAGCAGCACTATAGCGATTTACCGACCTCTATTGCGAAGATGGGGCAATATTGTAACTTTGAATTTTTTTTAAGGAAAATCGATGGTTTTCCCTGTTGTTTTGTTAGACGATAGATGTCGATTTAAAGGAGAGTGAATAGATCACAAATTTTACAACCAATTTTTTTTGACAAATATCTGTTTTCAAAATATGAAGCAGCGGAAAAACGACCCGGATCGAATCGTCTAACTGAACCTACTATCGAAAAGCAATATAGGTATCACAAACAAAACAGAGTGATAACGAACGTAAATTTTCAACAACGATCAAACTACGAATCAATGCAATGCTAATCGTAACTCGTATATTCTGTTAGACGATGGCGTGGATCTAGAAGGGAGGTTGAATAGATCCCTAATTAAAAAATTCGTCGGCGCTACCAATTAAAAATTGGTTTTAAAAATGTTTGATATGCGCAAGCGGCCGTGGAAAAATTATCGTCTATAACGAACCGTTATTAGAAGACCGGATATGCGTCTACCCTATGGATATGATAATGAGCAAATAGAATCACCACACTAGTCACACTATCAATTGATTAATAGCACTAATTAGTAAGACTAGTTCCAATGCTACACAATGCCAACAAAATATGTAAGTGATACAAGTGAATTTTGGTGTACACAATTTATCAAACACTTGGCGTGCGTAGCACTCCAAGTGAGTTTTGCCTTGAGTAAGTAACTCTAACTTCCTTGTACAATACACTATTGTACTAGAGTTAAAAACAATGTTAAACACTTATTCAAACCAATGCTAACTTTGATAAAATTGCTTATACTAAAATTACTCAATTATCAAGCAAAAATGAAAGTGCAGAAAAATAAAGGAGACAAAGATTTGTTGAGGCAGTTCCCCTGCCGTCCTCGCTTTGGGGTACGTCTGCCCTCAATTCTAATAATAGAATTGAGCTCGATATAATATAGATATCACTTGTTGTAGTTGAAACGTTTATACACGAATAGACAAGCAAAATATACAAACAAGCTCTCTTGATGTTGATGATGTTTTCTCTTCTTGTCCCTTGATTCGAGTCGAATCAAGTCCTTCGATTGTTATGGATAGACCTCCGATTACAGCCCCTTTGTTGAATAACCTTGCGTTCTTCAAACCCTCAGCCCGGCTGATCTCAAACACAAATAAATCGAACCTGAATCTCTCTTCCCCACTTCACCGATTACCGCTACTAGATTGATGGAACCAGCCGCTCCTCAATCACCTTCGCTCGGCTGAAAGTTTGTTGAGACGATTCGTACCAAAAACCCCCCAAATTCAACGAATCTTGGAGGACAAAACCTTCAAGGTTTTATTCAAGAAAAGCCTGCCACAAACTCAACCCGAACCGGATTCCTAATCGACGGCTTCGAACGTTATCACCTTGAACAAACCACAATGCACATCAAGAATTGTTGTGTGTAATTGTTGTGTTATGAAATGTTGAGGATGAAGATGATGAGAATGGATGGCACCTATTTCATTTTTCTTGTTAATGCAATTGACTCAATGTTTCAATTGTTGTTGAAGAAATGAACAAAACTTCTATATATAGTAACCCAAAAACCAACAGACATAACCACTTTTCAAACTAAGTGGAAAGTCTTCAAATTATGCAGAAAACGAAGCGAACGGTCGACCATAGCAGGACTATGCGTCAACGCATAGCCTGTATTTTTAGACAAATTCAAAATCTTAACATCATGCGTCGACCATAGGTCAGCGTGCGCTGACCCATGGGAATTTACACTTTCTATGCGCCTACCATGCGTCGACCTGTGGTCGACTCAAACCCTGCCATTTTGCAGAAATGCTTATTTTTGTGATTTCTACACTTCTAGACTCAATCAATGATATACCAAATATATTGGACTCAATAAGGCAAGTTAGATAGACATGACATGCACACAAGAGAGATATGAGAGGTGTGATATGCATTTGCCTTGTGGTGGTAGAGACGAAAAGTTGATTCTTCCATAATTGCGTTTTGACATCATCGAAACACAAGTATGCATTGTATATTGGGATTTTCCATCACATACTCCCCCTTTTTATTATGGCAAAACGTGCGAAACCAACTTGTGCAATGTGCAATATTAGTAACCTCCCCCTTGCTTAATACCCAATTCACAAAGTCTCCAACTAATGTATTGGCTTGGCTTAGCACATTCTTCTCCCCCTTTGACAACATCAAAAAGAAAGAGAGATAGGTTAAGAAATAGATGTTTAAATCAAAGAGATTCACAACAGGTAATAACCAACATTAACGAATATTCACACAAAATACTGTCAATGAGCAAGATATCAAAGGATAAACATATCATATATTAATAAACAAAGTACAATAGAGGTTCAAAATGACATAAAACAATTAAAGTGCAAACATTGTCATAACTAAGAAACATAAAAAAAAAAAAAAAAAAAAAAAAACATAGATGATAAGATGCAAGCATGAATCAATGTCCTTGTCCCCTCCCATAGTAATGTGGGTGCCGATATGGATATGCCAAATCGGTAAATTCCACAACAACGTTATTCAAGTAATGTAAGCTGTCGGAGATGGCCTTTTCTTGGATTTCAGTGGATGCAGCTAGAGCATCTAACTGTGTATTAATACCCGTTGAAAAAGTATTGAACCTTTCATTTTGCGTCTCGAGCTGGCTCTGGATTTGAGCGAACCGCTCGTCCTGAGCATTCATAAAATTACGTTGTTCCAGCTGCATAACCCTCATCATGTTGATAATCTCTGAAGATTGTGGCTGCAGGGGAGACGGAGGTGCGTCGTAACCCCACTGTGGAGGCTGATAAAATTGACGCATTGTAGTCCACCCGGTGTGTTGCCACTGACCCCAACCTTGATCATTGTCATCTCTTGTTGAAGTTGTATGGTGAACCCAATCTTCATTTACATGCTCATCAGTTTCCATTTGTTGACGAGTATCTTGTTCCTCTTATTCTTCATATTCGTCTTCCCCTTCTTCTTCTTCTGCATCTTCGTCACTTTCCTCCTCACTTTCATCGGATTCTACATCATCCCGACAAACAGTTGTTTTGCCAAAGAATTTGTACCGCATTTGATCTTGTGACCAGAAGTATCCCATCATGGAAAGAGTTTTCTGACCAAACTCTTGATCTGAAGTGATTGATGTGTACGGAAAATCTGAAAATACAACCTCAACACTCGTAAGGATCTCTTGGATGAATAAACCCATACAGGAGAGCGGTACCCTGATCGGAATCTCTTAGAGCATACATCCTACTAGAAATATAGTAGGGCCAGTTAATCTTAATTTTGTTTCGTAAAAGATACATCAAATGAACCTCCGCTTGCTTTACACGAGAAAATCCTCCTTTCTTGGGCCGCGGAATGCGCGCCACTATCCACTGCAGTATTTTATCTTGTGCTTTCAACTTGCCGGTGGTGACTGTTCTTGGAAACGCGTCACTAGCCACAATATGAGGCAGATATGGCCTTTTCAACATGGAGTTTAAGGCAGTTTTAAAATCATAGCCAGCCATAGTATGTGCATCAGTTACCTCATAAAGAGGTTTTTCCTCATCAAGATCCAAATTGAAATACTTTCTCCAAACAGCAGGTGAAAGACTAACCTTTGTGGAACCGATCTGAGAGTGGAATTGATAGCCCCAAAATTTTTCGTGAATGCATGTGTAGAAGATACGTACAAGATCTTCACTATACTTCGCATTACATTCCAAGAAATTGTTGATACCTTGAAAATCCAGAAGAGAGATGATATGAGCAAGATGTATGCGCTCCGCCGAGAGCCGATAGTATGTGTGTTGCTTGACTACAACCCTTTTACTGAAGTTCTTATTGAAACTCTCGGTGAGTGGTGGTGGAACTAACAACACAGCTGTAACCGGAATGGAGGCGGATGATGATGCCCTTGAAGTTCTTTTACCTGTTATTCTTCTAGAGGCCATGGATGATGATTTGAAGAAGATGATAGGAGAGATGGGTTGATGGTAGTATGCAATAGTTTTAGAGGATTTGGAGAGAATGAGAGGTTTGCCCCTTTTTATACATGCTAATTAGGGTTTTGGGAAGAGGAGGGGACTAGGTTCTAGTTATGAGATAGATGCAACAATCAATGCATAGAGAGTAATGCACAATTAATGAGTAATCAAATTTTGAATTGATGAGAATGTTGAACGTTTTTGAAAAAAAATTCAGAATTTTCGCGCGATCCGTCTACCGCTCCTCTGTATGCGTCGATGC